ATTATAAAAAAAATATTTATTTTTTATTAATATTATATAAAAGATACTTGTTGATATATATGTGTCTGTATGTATGTGTGTATATATTATGTTATTACTACAGAGGAAGATGATTCTTTATCAATTTCACACTAGCCATAATGATAAGGTGAATCACCTAGATAAAGATTAATAATTTTTGTTATGAAGTATTTGTATTTTAATTTTTAAATTATTTATAATACAAAAAATAAGAATAAAAAATCTTATTTTTTAATTTATTTAATTTATTTATTATTATCGGTTATTACAAAGTTATTAATTTTATAACATGAGAGTTTCTAAACCGCATAAAAAAAAAAGTTTTAATGGTGTTGAGTTTTCTACTATCAGCCATATTATAGAGAATATTAATGTGAACAAATTGTTATTCACTTTACAAACACTAAAAAACCTCGGAGCATATTATAGATTGAGAACATCGTATCTACTGGGCTCTCGAGGTGACCCGTGAGCCAACGCCTAGATTTACTAGCGTTGTTATTAGTGAAGTTAATTAGACATGCATAGTTAATTAATTCTGTGTAAAAACTGTGAAGGAGACGCCTAGTAGCTTAGCAGTTGAGAGAAGGTTTCCTCATTACACCCTTGGCAATTCAAGCTGTTGTAATCTGTCATTTTTCAGCTAAGATTAGACATGTCCCGCAACTTGGACATGCTGTCAATATGTAATTGATGATGAACTGACTAATTTCTCCATTGTTATGAACTTAAGGTGATGTTACCAATAAATCATCAAATGACAGTGCCACTCCCTGAAATGGCACTGCTCAGGAATCAATTAGCGTGTTTCTCTTAAGATCCTGGAAAAACAGAAGGGAAAGGAAAGACAAAAGATCCCCACTGTTCTTCAAGTTGGTTTTTTCTATATTAAATTACAAGATATTTAAAATCTCATTGTTCTACGTATAGAATGGTATGCCATTGGCCGGAGAATTTTATGAATGAAAGAGGTCATATGATTGCTTTGGTGGTGCAGAAAAGCCTGCCCACAGGAAATAGAGGTGTCACCTTTCACTCTAGTTTGTTTCCGATTCATTGAGAAAAGGGAGTTAACAGTATACAAATATTGAACCCTGCCAATTATCAAACACTCTATGCTGTGTTCATATCAAGATTTCCTGCCACTGCCATATCTGATCTTGGAAATGTTGCAGCTTCCGCTTTAAATAAATTTTATTTAAAAAAATCATCAAATTAATATTTTATTATTATTTTAACAGGCTAATATTAAAAAAATATTTTTAGAAAACCCAAAATCACGCTACTAAACACATACAGGGATCCTTTCTTAATCTTTCACAGTACCAATCACGCAGATCCTTTCTTGATCTTTTGAGTTTAATCAATTTTGTTTTGGATGCAAGTGCAAATGTGCAGCTCCACTTTCATAAACTGCTGGGAGGGGCCATTGACAGTTTGTTAAATTCTTCGATGATGTGCTTGGTGCTTCCCTCCAGTTTTGGACACATGTCATGCCTACACCCGTGGACGGTTCTTATTACATTGAGCAGAGGCCCATGATGCCCTCGCTAGGCCCACGTGATCTCTCAGAAAAATGATTGCAGCTTTTGGTGGGACATCTTTCCATTCTACACCTTAGATTTTTGTTTTTGTCTCTTTTCCTTTTTCTCATTTCCTTTTCAGTAATAATTCAACTACTCTGCGCCGTCCACCCAAAAACCCACAATAATAATAATAATAATAATTTTAAAATAATTTTATGTTATTTTAATATATTGATATTAAAAATAAAATTTTAAAAATAAAAAATATAATTTTAAAAAACAAACCCATTTACAAAATCAAATCAAAATAATAAAATTACAAAATCAAATCAAATAATAAGATAATAAATTATAAATATAAAGAATAAAAATATATTATTTTCCCTTAATAATTATAAGAAATATAGTTTAATTGGTTAGATTTTAAATTTATTTTTTATAAATTATCAATATAAATATCATAAATTTCAAAACCACTAAAAATAAAAATAGAGACACGGGATTAGTAGTGGACCCTGGCCCTTAAAATTTTTTTTCTCTTTCTTAGAAATATTTATATTTTTAATCTAAATAATAAAATAACTAGTATTTTGATCATTTTAATTTTATTTTTTAATTTCATCCTTATCAAAATTTTATATTATTAATTTTAAGATTTTAAAAAATTAATTAAAATATATATAAACTAATCTAAACATCAACCATTACTTGAAAAAAAAGTTATTTTCTCCTAATCTTGTAAATCAAAGGATCTCCACTATTCAGAATTTAAATAGAGGCTTCCCTGTAAAATTGTTATTTTGAAATCAAACCATACACATGAAATAAAAGAGAAAATATGCATATATGCAATGCAATGAAATCCAAGAACTCGACATGGAAGTGAAATGGGACTTGCCAGCAAGCAAATCGGAGCTAATATCTGACGAGAGAGGGCACGAAATATCAACAGGAGGGTACATTATATGGATGCAGCTAAAGTAGACAGTGAAAGGTGGCGAAAGGGATTGATTGGCAAATTGTGGTTCAGTGACTGCATCGACCATGGCTGAGATGAAAATAATCTAGGATGCATCCAGACAGAAGACGCTGATGGGCCATTTGACTTCAACTTTGGACAGGGGACACGAGTCTAATAGGGCCTGCTGCTTTCTTGGCCGCACACTTGTCTCAGTTTTATTTGCATTACTATTGTAAGAAATACTAAAACGTGTGGGGGAATTTACCGTGCAAAACGCATTCCTTATAGTTTTTGTTTTTTTTTTCGACCAGATTGTAGGCTAAATTTTTACGAGTACGAGATAAAAAAATAAAGGATTAAAATAAAAAAAATTAGATGTTCTTTTATATCCTATTTAATTTAGTTTAGTTGCCAATTATATCCTTTTGTTTTATATTACACACTAAAAAAGTTGTTGATGCATATATTGCATGTATTATAGCAGCTCCCATGCTGTTTAAGGGTTTTTTTTTTAAAAAAATTATTATTTAATATTGAATTATTTTATAATTTTATTTATTTTGTTTTTATTAACAATTTATTTTACCTTTTCATTAACATGAATGATTATTTAATTAAATACAATGTTTATTAAACGTGGTTGAGTACTTTGACTTGTGCTATAATGTTAAATAGCTTAATTATAGTTGTTTTTTAATTAAATATTAATTTAATTAATTAAATGTGTATATAAGCAAGGTTATGAATTTTTTATATCTAATAACACATGGGAAAGGCCTATATATTTATTTTTCTACTAAGTCTTTTTTTACTCAAAGCTAAACACGAATTAAATAGTTAATTTAAAATAAAAATTGTTTTAGTATATATGTTTTTTAAAAGAAAAAACAATGGTTTTGAATAATTTTATTTTATCGTGTCAACTTATCCAGTGATCAAAATTTAACCTCTTGAAATGCAATCCGAATGTAATAATTGTCTGATATATATAAAATGACGTGCGCTACAGTTATAAAAATCGGCAAACAGTCGGTGAGTTGGATTTTTTTTAAGCGATGAGTAAATAGCATAATAATGGAAAATCTGACTTAATTAGCGTAAAAGACACTGAGAAACCTTGTTAAATGTATTTAATTATCCAGGAAGCTACCTCCTCCATTAAGAGAAATAAAATAAAAATAAAGATATAGACCTGTTGGTTGATAATAATAATAATTGCCAATATATTTTCCTTAATCACAATGGTAATACACTACAAATTGTACACGCAGAGATAATAACAAGATGAATCCATCTTCATTTTATTCTCTATACAGGTATATAACTTGTTAACTACACGAGATATATGCTTAACGATTCCTTTTTCTCATAGTATTCGTACCAAGACCAGGCAACAGGAAAAGAAAAACCAGCCAGATTAGGTTAAAGTTTATCACCTTAAATTTTCATAATTTCCACAGTTGGAATCATCAATCAAATGACAGGAGCGCCATGTATGTGGTGCGGATTGGTGACAGGAAGGAACCCAGTCATGTTTTATTCGAGTCGCCGTCGTGACTGTTAAAGAAAAGAGGCAGCTCTGAAAAAAAACAAGAATACACAAGCAAAAGCTAAATGCGTAATGCTACTTGACAAAATTTCACGTGGCCTGCTAGTAAATTATGAGAACAAGTCACCCACTTGAGATCTCTGGGTGATATCAAATCTTGATCCACCATCTCACCCACACTAAATTGAAAATTCACCGGGGCCCTGAAAAGATGAACCAGAAAATAAAGCATTGCCAATCCTGAATATTTCAATGTTCAATTGTCATTTTCATGCATGCCCAAATAAAAACATCCTCGAACTGTCCCGGGCCGTTAAGGTCAAGTTGGGATGTTCTTTAAAAAAATGAGGAAATGAATGCGTGGAAGGAGCTCGTAGGTCTCAGATTTTCAGTAATATCAATTGATTCAAGGAGGGAAAATGGTCGGAACCAATCCGAAGCAGCACGAATCATTTCCTTTCTCCTGAACGGCCTTTGTGAAGAGGGTTGACTATGGGAAATTAACCTAGGTGAGAAAACACCCTTTGGCAGGATCTATCCTCTCCTCTTTAAAAGGGTGGCTGATACATTACTAGACCTTTTTCTTTGGAGGAATCATTTCCTTATTTTATTCGACAATTTACTTATCGATAGGTAAATGGCATTAGGCCTAGTACATTACTAGTTAATCCAATGAACCACGTGGTGGGGCAACCAACACCATTCTACAAGTCAACTCCCGAAACACTTTATACTTAATTGAATGTTCAAAATCAAGAAACTCTACGCTATAGGCTGCACAAAGACATACTTCCCGAATGGGCACTCTAACACGCACCAAGAAATTTGTGTCTGATCGATACCCAACTAACTTCTGAAACCAGCGATGCGCGACTTCATCCACAAACAACCAAAACAACTCAAAACAAAAGGCAACAAATCATGCACAAAAGACCCAAACCAGTGGAACAGGGAAATGCATGTCACATGGCAGAACATGGTTTCAAGATACATATCCAGCATCTCAAGAACTCTGCAAAATATTCATTCAACACAAAAGGTAAGGAAACGTCTTAAGATTGTACTCACAATCACTTGAACAAAAAAGTAATAGTAGCTGAGAAACTCGGCAACATACTACTTAGAACTAAATAACCAAATACATCAAGACACCTAGGTGTTGGTTGCCCTGGTGTAAATCTGCTGGCTTGCATGGGAAGAGACCATCCTAATGGAACCTCTAGCCATCAGTTCCCTGATTGCCTTCCTTGCAAGTGATCCACTAATCTGAAAGATACATTAACACACAAAATCAAATGAAGCATGTACACAAATTTAAATAAAACATGAAATCAGAGTGGTATCAGTACTGGTCAAGCTAATGAAAAGGCATTAACAAAACAATGCCCGGGTAGAACACACGAAGGCATGTATAATAGTTTACAGATTCTCAACCCCAGTAGAGAGATAAAAAACAGTACAGTAATCATAGAATAGAAACTTTTTAGGTACAGAAACGCAAACTCACTAGATCTCGAAAACATCCTAGACATAAATAAGCATACGAGAAATAGACAAAAGGTCAGCTTGACTAATTGTCAAAACTAAATACAACACACCGGAAGTGACATTGCGATGTCAACAAAATAAGGGACCTAAATACCCAAAAAACAACAATCTAATTCATGATAGTTTCAAGTAACTTCAATCTTTTATCACCTAAGGAAATTTAAAACATTCTCTCAAACTCTTCCACCACTTTACCACTACAACTTACGAGAACTATTAAAAATATTGCTACCGACAGCTAAAACTTAATATTCCATAGAATGGCAACAGCTTGTACCAAGTTAGAAACTTTACTTGAAGAGCTAAAATACTCCTTAGAAGTTATGCTACATCACCTGAAACCTAACAGTAAAAAATGCGCGACATCTGACGGCAGACAGGTTCCACAATTGTTTTGGCGAGTATATATTTGAAATAATGCTAATATTACAGAGATTCTTCCAATAAAAGATCCTCTCCAATTGACTAGTGGATCCGACAAATTCAACGGTTGAGATCCTTTCGGACGTTTATAAGTGAAACTAGTATTGCTCGTACATTGGTACTGCACTTGGTCCTAAACCCAGTAATCGAAAAATTCTAACATGATCAAAAACAAAAAATAAAATTAAAACCCCGCGATTTGACATAACAAAAAGCATGAAAATGGCGTAAGCTTGAATGAAAAAAGTAGTAAAACGTATTATTACCCTCATACGATCGGAGAGGACAGAAGGAGTGATAAGCTTGTACTTAGGAGCTTCGGAGAGAAGCTTATCATAAGTAGCTTGATCAAAGAGAACCATGTTGTTGACTTTCTCCTTTTGCTTTCCCTTGCTCCACTTCTTCTTCTTCTGCTTCCCTCCTCCTGATTTCGCTGGCTTTGATGACGGTGGCGGCGCCTTCTCCTTCTTCGGTGCCTGCAGACAACCAAAGAGAGAAACCGTTAATCCAATTGGGATTGTCGAGATTTGGATAGTTTTGTTGAGAAAGAGAGGATTACCATTGGATTTGTTGATGTTGTGTGAGAGGAAAGGGAGAAGAGGCTGCTGCTGCTGCGGGGTACGCGTTGTGTTGCTGTTATTTGAGTAGTGTATCTAGGGTTTCTAGGGAAGTTCAGTTAGTTTACTGGGCTGCTTTTATTGTTTCAAGTTGAGTTAAAAGGCCTGTATGGGCTATTTGTTAGAAAGCAACGTATCTATTTTAATCTTGTGCTAAGCCCATGAACAAGTACATTTCAGCCCATATCCTTGACCACTGCTAATTTCATTTAACTTTCGAAACTCCCCGCACACTCTATTCAAAATTCAAGTGGGCGAATCCTAAATCTTTAGAAAGGTGATTTCGGATGGTATTTTTAGGGAGTCAAGATTTTTATGGAATTTTCGCTCGGTGATGGTTTTGATTCATGCAAATTTTTTAGTTGAATAAATAAATCATGAATTGATGGTACAAGAGTGGTATAGGACTTTTATATGTTTAACTAATGTCTGATCAACAATACTGTTGTTTATCAGTATTCTCAATGATCTTAGAATAGTTTTTGAATTAAAAAAATAATGTCACCTCGATATATTTCACTTTTTTATATCTATGCGTGAAAAAAGTTTTTGAATTATTCATGATGTAATTGTAAATCCACATGGGTCAACCATCAATCTCGTGGAGATCATTCTTCTAAGCACAGAAAGAGATAGATTTATAGCGTAGAAAAGGAAGGAGAGGATCAAACTTGAAATCTCTTTAAAACTCGACGATTTCTCAGGTGATACACATATCATGGTTCATGACTAGCAATCGAGGTGCCAGAAGCATGCAAATCCAGGGAAATCAAAGTGGCAAGCACCATGCATGGCGTCCTTTCATTCCTTGCACTGCTGGTCACAGTTTGGCGAGCTGCCACAAAAGCAAGTCCATGTCTTGCTCCGCTTCTGCAACCGGCATCCATGGAACACATGTCAGTATACAATACTGAGCATAAAACATGAATTTCTCTTCTCTTTTCGTTGTGGTATTATGCAGATTTTCTCCCTCAATTTCTTTAGGCTGGAGGCTTTTTTCTTCTCACTGATCTAGTCCTTCTATTCTTTATTTAATTCAATAAAGTTTCTTGCGATACTTTTATAGATTAGATTAATATATTTTAAGTATCCGTGATCAACAAAACCGACCTTAGCTCAGTTGGCAGAGCGGAGGACTGTAGTGGTGCCTGTAATCCTTAGGTCGCTGGTTCGAATCCGGCAGGTCGGACAATCCTTTTTCAGACTCTAGAGTTTGGGCCTCGAAAGGCTGTCCACTAATAAATCCATTTAATTGATCCAACCGTTGATTTTAATTTTGGATCAGAGTCCAAAGATAGTTAGGTACCTACATCAACCCAACCTGGTTTAATTAGTAAGTCCATAGTTCGAGGTCCACCATGTAACTTGCTTTTTCAGCTTCTTTTTTTAATTTTTTTTTTTGATATTTTAATGTTAAAAATAAATTTTAAAAAATAAAAAAATAATTATTTTAATATATTTATAAATAAAAAGTATCTTGAAAAACAACATCTACCTCGCATCTTTCTTTTAAAATAATCATATACTATCATTTGATATTGAGAAAAAATAATAATAATAGCCGGAGTGGACCATTTATAAATTAAAAAAAGAAAAGAAAAAGGAGAAGTTCTTGCTAAGGAAATAAATTGAGCAACAAACACAGTTAGTGGGATCCGACTCAACAATCACCGAATCCAACGTAGTTGATTTTGTGGGCAAGTAAGCAAACCGAGGGCATATTTACTTATTTTTCCTTGTTCTTCTTCTTTTTTTTTGGTAAAGAATATATATTTTTCATATCATATAACTATCCACATAAAGGAATTTATAAACTTTGTGTCACAAAAACAGAGGGTGAATCTTAAGCTCCCGTGTCATTGAATCAGCCTCCAATCCTTCGGAGGAGGATCAAAAATAAAATAAACCGAGAAAAAAAAAGGGAGCTTGATGTTACATCAACTCAACTTGTGAAACAATTAATTAATCACCCAAATTAAGCTTTCAGTTATTTTTCTAACGCCTTATCTAGACTCCAAAACCTTTACATGCAAGGAAAGTTTGCTTTATTAACATCTTGAAAAGAAATATTATTCTTGGAATGAACGTGGGATTCGAAATTCTTTGCTTCCGAGTTCGGACCCCATTCCGAATCGACTCCTTAGTTGATAGCCACGTTTCCATCTTTAAAAAAACAGGAAGACTCTTTATTTTCCCGCTTCTTGTCTCTTTTATGCTTTTTCCCCGTCACTGTTGTCAAAATAATAGAGCAAATGGAGCCCAGAGATCTAGGCCCATTTGAAGTTAAAGTGAACCCTGTAAAGTCCAATACTCAATTCTTTTATTTGTCTGCCAAGTGTTTTTTTTTCTTTTTCCCTAATGATTTTTTTTTTCTTTTTCCTACATGACAATGTAAGCTATTTTAATGGAACTAGGGAGGACAAAAGCTTGGAACATCTCTACTTCTTGCTTAATAATCAAACATCGAATGTAGATGCCAATTAAGTGATCTGGATTCAATAACGCTTACCTGAAAGACGGGAGGGATTTGGGAAACGAGAGGCTAATAGCTCGTAATATAAGCCGAAAAACTAAAAAAACCATTCGGAATTAATTTGATCTCAAAGTTTTGAGAGTCAGGCCTGTCTATTACAGGCAGTGGATTCAAGGAAGAAAGGTACTGCTTTAACTTGTTTCTAAAAGAAGGGGAAAAAAGAGGGTAAGAACCGAACCGTTGATGCCTCCTGAATCATTCAGGGTCTCGGATCAAACAACAACATGAAAGAACACGAACAGTTCTGATTTTGACAGAGAAAGAGAGAGATTGAAGCTAACCCACAAGAAGATAACAAAGAGCCACGTGTTATCATAACGAATGTAACGCGCAAGGAAAAGAAAGCTGGTCGTCCACTCTGTAGTGGGATCATTGGTGGGTCTTGTCTTGAAGAACAGGAGGATTCAGTAACGGAATGCCGGTTGAAGGTGAAGAAAGTTGATAAAATAATGGAAATAAGGAGAGAAAAGCAACATTTTTTTTTCTTAGTATGGAAGAAATGGGCCTGCTTTCGCGATGATTTGTTACTGTAATTGCCATGTCCCAAACTTTTTACCTAACATTCTACGAAATAGTGTTATTACAGTGACATTCAGGTCATCCTTCAACAAGATTCAACCTACCAGATTACCAGATCTTTTTATCTATCATGTAAAAAGAACTTTTATGTTTATTTGTTTTGATTACAAGGGGGATTCTTGTTCTTTCTTTTTTTTTTCAATTTTTCCGAGGAGCTTAATTTTTTTTGGTTTTAGCTAACATGAAGATAATTTTAGTAAATAACATAATTATTAAACCCAACTAAACCTCATAAAATAATTAAGAAAATATACAATCTAGAATTTTATTGAAATTATGTTTCAAATTAAAGTGGTTTAGTATTAATTTAATTAAGATTGACCATAACTCAATTAATAGGATCAAACTCAGTCTAAACTTTACCAAGTTAATATAAAAAAAATTAAAAAAATAATATTATTTTTAATAAAAATAATAGATCAGAATTGACTTGCTAACCTATAAATTTACCCAACAACACAGTAACTTGGATTTTTTTCGGGACAAACCTTGAGCCAGATCTAATAACATGTAGTACTTGATGTAACATAACTGGATTGAGTGCAATGCGACTATTTCATGAGAAAGTTGGAACATAAACCTAGTCATGGAACAAGATTCTATCTTGTAATATTGCTGATGTATTCTAATATTCCATGAACATCATGATGCGCAGGTCAGTGTTGAATAACGAAACTGGTGAGTTCAATGTATGCCTGCTCTTCTAGTCGGTTCATGGGATATTCTAAAAGAATGTGGGTATATTCGGCAGAATAATTTCCCACCAAAGTTGAAGAGAGTCTTCTACTAGGTGTAAAATCTAAGCTTCAAGGGAGGTGGGAATAATAGGGCAAGATAAAAAGAAGTAATAATGGTGTGGAAAAATCCCACAACTTGCACAGTTCGAAAAATGCTAAAGATGGAATATAATACTTTTACCCAGAAAAATTACAAATTAAAAACATATAAAGAAAGATTGGATGTAAAGAAAAAAAAATGGATCACATATTCCACCATCTATAAATAGTCTACCTCAACAACCAACGGCTTCAACAAGAACAGCGACATTTTCTAGTTGACAAGCACAGAGGGAGAAAAAACAGAGCTGCGCTCTGATTCCCCTGCTTCTCTCCTTTGTATTGTTTTCTTTCTATCAGTTTCCATGCTCCTTGGCAGCATAATACCTTCACTGTATACTATAGGTATGGTAGATTCAGTATTGACTCTACACAGAGAAATGGAAGCTACCGGCGCTTTGCTTGTTTACAACTTCTCTGAGTGAAAACCCATAATCCTACATCTTCTCTGCCACCTTGCTGTTGCTTTTAATTCTCAATCCCCATCTGTAAATGGATTCATTTAACATCACCAGCATCAAGATTGAGAAGGCGAAAGCGATCAAGAAGCATAGGAAGATTCAAAAGATTTCAAGTTTGTTCAGGTTAATAGAAATAGGCGCTGTTCTAGCTTTGATTGCCAGGTTTTCCATTCAACTCCCGGTTGCTATCAAGAACTCTAGTGAGTATTTCAAGGACTTAACAGTAATCCTCGTAAGTCCTTGGTTTGTGTTCGTTCTTGGTAACATGATAGTCATCACTCTCTTTGCAAAGTCAGGCCAGTTTTCAGGTCAAGATTCTAATAGGAAGAATCCAAGCACTGATCTTTATGACGAGTTTGTAGAGAAGAGTGAAAAGAGTCAGGAAACTCATCAATATGAAGCTGAATGCAGAGAGAAACAGGTCACTTTTGTTGAGTACAAAGTCACTGAGGATACTTCAACTTCTTTAGAACGAAAGAAATATCACAGGAGTCAATCAGAGAAATTGGAGAGGCCAGATAGTAGCCGGGAACTGAGGAGGTCAGCGACTGATAAATGCAGGAAAACCATTGATTCTGCTAAGGAATCGGAGAAAAGTTCATTTCCCAAGGATAAAATGAGCAACGATGAGTTTCGGAGCACGA